ACAACTAGATAGAGCTTATTAGGTTTGCCATCGCGGTTATATTAACATCAAATTTAATCTCTTAATCGGTTTGGATTCGGAATCTGACTATATCTATTATCTGCCCATTGACATTTTCCCTTCTTATGTCGGGTTTCTTTTACTTTCTGTCTGGTGGTTACGGCTAGTTTTGGCTTCCTATTCAAACTCTGCCAAATTTCTAATGTTGGCCTCCTTGGTCTTACGGGTTAATTACTTTAGCATATTATTAATCGTTTTGGATATGCATCCACACCTAACTTGTGTTCCCACAATTCTACTCAAACGATGGCTCCTATTTGATTCGAGGCCGACTTATTAACTTATTAACGAGCTATGACTTATATTCGATTTCGCATCATCATTCAATTTGCGAAATTGGCTCGTACTGCTTCATAAGCTTTAATTGTTCATAAAATATATTTTTTATAGTAATAACTATCTAAACAATCTATAATACATAATTTCTCTTTTATATATTTTAAATGAAACTTATCTTCTCACATGCCAAACATCATAGGGTGACATATATAATCTAACAAACTTATGAATTATCAGCGAACCAAGTGATCATAAAGTATAAATTGATTCTCTCGGGCGAGGTCGGTCTAGCTAGCTACACCATTCTTGAGCCAGCTCATATAGATCAAAATTAGTTAGCTAGCTCACGAGTGAGCTCATCAAGTCACCAAGTCCAACCGTCTCGTGAGCCTTGCAAGTTGAACATGTCTTAGCTCAAATTCGATTCATTAAATGATTATATTTTGCAGCCGTGAGCAGCTTGACTCATTTGTCGTCTTAGGGTATATGTACATGTATCATATATATATATATATATGTAAACCCCTGTCAAGAGAGGGGTTAAAGCGTTAGGAAAGTTCAGTAGTCCGCGATCTTTACTATATTTATCATAAACCAATTACTCCCTTTTAACTCGAGTTGTCGGGAAAATGTTCATTCGTATGGTACTTAACCACTTCCTTACAATATTTACAAGTCCTAACATCTATCTACATCCATATATGTTCTCTCAGCTCGACGTCGTGTAGCGATCATGCATGTACGTATGATCTACACTTTTCATTAGTTTTGTGCTTGTTTGAAACAATATTGATGTGGAAATTGTGGATGCATGTATAGGGAATACAAGGAGAAGACACTACAGAGGCGTGAGACAAAGGCCATGGGGGAAATGGGCGGCCGAAATACGCGACCCCAAGAAGGCGGCCAGGGTCTGGCTGGGCACGTTCGACACTGCCGAGGACGCAGCTGCTGCGTACGACAAGGCCGCTCTCAAGTTCAAAGGCAGCAAGGCCAAGCTCAACTTCCCAGAACGAGTTCAACCCCACTCTTTCTCCACCTACGACGTCAATATCACGTCGACAACCGCCTCCGGCTCCAGCCGCACCGTCGTCTCATCATCGCCTCATCAGGCTGCTGCAGCACTGCCGCCGCCGCCGCCGCCACCACATGACGCTTACCCTCACCTGCTTCAGTACGCCAACATTCTTTCGAGCGACCGTGAGTCCGATTTTCAGTACCACGCCTCGAATCTCCTCATGGCTCAACCTCAGGCTGATCCCTTTGCTCATCCTCCCCAGTCGTCTTCGGCGTTTTCATCGGTTTGTAATGTCCAGGATGGTGATCAGCGGTTTGATCATAGTCAGCAGCAGGAGCAGCATGATCATGATCATGATATGATGAGGTTGTATCACTCGTCTTCAGATCATTATCATCATCATCATCAGCAAGGTCATGATGATAACGATTCCACCACGTCCGACCAGTAGCTCGTTCAGTACGCATGCAAATATGTAAATGCATGCGTGCATGGCGGTAGATCCTTGGTATTGTAATGAAGGAGGATTTCTGAATTTTAAAGCCTCCTCATGCTGGAATTTTTGTATCAATTTATAGTGCTATTATTATTATATTATTATAGCATTATTGGTTGGTCTCCACAGGTAAGAGGTGTGCAACAGTTTGGTCCTTTTCAGATACTGCATCATATCAAAACGACAGTTGGATCGAATCAAATCGAACCAAATATAATATGCATGATTTGATTTTTTTATCATGAATTTTATAGATACTGGAAAAAAATGGACTCGGATTGACATTGGGACCTGACCTTAATGCACCGTTAGCCCTTCCTTGATCCTAAAACGTTTTTCACTCCCCTCTCTATCTATTGATTCTATTCATTATATAAACTTTTGAGGGGATAGATCGGGAGGACTGGAGGAGTACTGTTACATACTTGCATTATTTCTCCGGCTCTTTTTCTCTCTCTTTTTTCTGTTGTTCAGAGAGAGACTGAGATTAGGGCCGAGAAAATAGACCAGACCGTTAGAAAAATCGTGGTCCAAACCGTACCGCACAGTTTGATCCGGACCGTAGACCGTTAAGTATGGTTTGGTCTGGTCCATGGTCTGTATTATTTTATGTTTTGATATCTTGGTCTAGTTTGGTCTAGACTGCGGTTTACCGGACCAAACCGTGGACCCAACTGACTTGTCAATACGTGTTAACATCCCATTAAACCATTCTCCCAACTCCCAAAACGACACCCAAGTCTCAACCTTAGTTTTGTGAATCTCGTCCCTTCTTCATTCACAACCACATTTAACGAGAGAGTAGAGATAATCGTGTCTCCATATGATATTATGTTAATGTTTATGACGTTATGTGCAAGTTGGGATGCTTTTACTTTGTATCTTTGTTATGTACTAAGATTTAGAGTATCAAAATTATTCGTGCTTGTTAGGATTAATGTTTTAAGGCAAATAACAATATTTTTTTTCTTTGTTATTGGTTCAATTTTTTGTGTGGTTGACTAAGCAAATTATTCATTTTTCATTGAGTGTGGTCTATCTGGACCAGACCAGACCGAACCAGACCGCATAGGCGTGGTCTGGACCGGACGGTATAGTATGTGATCTTGTCTGTGGTCTATACTTTACCCTCTCGGTCTGGATCATAGACCGTATATATGGTCTGGTCTGGACCAGACCGCACCGTTTTCCAGCCCTAACTGAGATAGGTATAAGCAGTGGCGAATCTAGGGGGTGGCCACCGCCTTCCTCTGGATCTGGCATTAGTGTAGTCCTTATGATTTTTTTGATATTAGACATCCGGCTCAGTGTTATTTTATAATAAGATTGGGTATAACTAGGAAAATAATTTAAATTAACATTTTCCAATCATTATTCTATTTAGACTAGAAATTCTAGCCCCAAAGATTGTTTGTCTAAAAAACAATGAAATCTGAAAGTCTAAAAGTCTAAAACGTAAAAGACTAGAAGAAATATGAGGTTTTTCCCTTGAAAATTTACTAGAGTAGTTGGTGAATCTAGGGATGGACACAAAATGCACGATTGATTTGTCTAGTGTTGACGCTGCTCGTTTCAACAGCTTCTACCGGGAGAACTTTTTCAAAAATGAAACATAAAATGAGCGATGAATTTCTCGCCGATTGCTCAAGTATTCTATTTGAAACAGTTTATATTATTGGTATGGATGTGGACTCCATTATTGTTGCATTCGCTAAATTAAAATACGATAGTCTACAATTTATATTGCAAAAAAAAATCATTATATTTGTTTACGGTTTTAATTTTTTAATAAAATACGGCCCAATGCTCTTCTGAGTTCTGGATCCGCAGCTAGGTATAAGGTGCTTGCGCATGCAGCTGTGTCGTCTCCTCGCCCACTTGCTTTCTTTCTTTCTTTCTTTCGTTCGTAGCTTTGACGAAGAAAAGCAGCTTCCCACAAAGGCCAGAAAATACATAAACTTGTGTCAGCTCTCATGTGCAAGAAATGATAATAAAGTTAAAATAAATTAACGAGTTGCAACTTGCATGTTGTTAAAACTAGAATACGACCATAAATCTGTAAGAAGCTAGCTAGCAATTATATAGAGTTCAATGCGAATAAAAAGTCAGGGAGGCTCAGGCGCATGAAATAGGGGGACGGCGGATGGACGGTGCAGGTTTATGTGCTTATTTTGCATGCTTTCAGTTTCGGCTTTCCCACGTCAAACTTTGCGGCTCTCACCCGATCGCTCTCTTCAAATTCTGGACCCACGCTGGGAGATATCGGATGAAAGGTTCACGAGTTAAAATTGGGTTTTGGTGAAGGGACAATTTTTTGTTATAATAGTTTGATATGTCTCTAGTGACAATTTTTTTGAAACATATGAAATTGTTGGGTATGATGATTGTACAAAATTAAACGATATATAGATACAGTTTAACAATTTTGTAGTACAGGAATGTGACCAGCAGTGAGATACGATGGTGTATGGGTCGATTGTATGGTGGTGTAGATTTGAATGATATTGGCATAATTTAGTAATTTTGTCGAATAGGAAAATTACTTATGAACACATGACCGTGATCATTTTATGGAATTTTGTTAATTCAATATATACTAGATATTATTTTATAGATCACAAAAAATATCAAAATTTTGGAGATGAAACGAAACAATACAGATCAATTAAGAAAAGTAAGGGAATTGAAAAGGAAGAGAGAGAGAGTGTGTGTGCGCTAGGTGACACTCTGATTCGATGACATGAAAAAGTAAAAAGAAAAAACTAAATAAAAATAAATTACCTTTTCAATTTAGATATATAAGAAAAAATAAAATCAAGATTGAATTTTTTTTTGATTGGTAGTAAGAGATGCTGATGTGGTTGCTTAAAAACTATAGAAATTTGAAACGGTGTGGTTGTAAATTGGGAGAGGTTATGGTGATAACTTGGTATTAGTAATCACCGTGGCTACTAAGGATAGGAATGGTATTTTACTTTTATTATAATCATAATTATCATATTAATTACGTGATAATTAGGGAGAGATAATTATGAAAAGTAATTATTACAGCAATTAAACCATCGTAGGGTTCTGTGAGGTTTGGATTGGTAGTGTTAATCACTTTGTATGGCTGCACTGGTAGTGATCTGCATTGGTAGTTGTCTTAAATCTGTACTGATTGTATTGGAACAAATTTAATATTGGATTGATTCTGGTGGTATGAATTGGATTGGTATTGTGATTATAATTATTGAAATGGTATTGATTTTGCCTTATTGTGCAACGTATTGTTGTGTCTGATTAGTTTGGTATGAATTTTAGTCATTGCAAACATACCAATGAACACACAAAAAGTCCAACAACTAGCTTGCATAAAACTGGAACACTACCATTGCAAATATACCAATGAACACTACCATTCCACGCCAAGCTATACATGTGAGAAGATAACTACCAAAACAATAGATCACTACCAATACATCAAATCTCGCCAATAGCCGACTCAGAATCCGGAGGAGTTGAAATCAACCTCGCGGGTGCGCCGTCTTCAGTCGGAGTGGGATGAATAGGGAAACGATACAGAGCCATCGAACCCTTCGCCGATTCACCATCCGAGAAACAAACAGTCGCCGACCTGGAGAGAAAGACAGCGGCGCTGTCGGCTGCACGGGGTCGTCGTCGACTGCACGGAGTCATCATTGTCAGCTGCATAGAGTCATCGTCGTCGGATGCACGAAGTTGGCGGCGGCTGCACGGAGTCGATCAACGGAGCTGTACATAATCATCCTTCCTCCTGGCCTCGATGGAAGCTTGCGGCTGCGGCGGGTTTGATTGGAGGGAGGATAGAAGTAGGGTTTGGGTAGAATATATATAATAATCTGGTGTGGTCTCTTTTTGTTTCCAAAATTACTCTGGAACAATCTTAACCGTGAGATTAAAAAAAGAAAAGAAAAAAGAAAAAAAATAAATGATGGATACGGATGTAGCCATGGTGGCTACTAGAATTTCAGTTACCACCCTAACACATTCCGTTGGAAAAGTCTTATTATATCATATAGATAGATAAATTTTTCCTAAAATTCTTATGGTCTCTCCTAAATTTGATGACGTAACTTCCGCTCACAAACTCTAAATCCTCTGGTTAATGATGGAGCACTGCTATATTATTTGTACGATTGCACCAAACAGTACAAGTAGGAATGGCAACGGGGACGGGTGGGGTCAGTTTTCTCTAATACCAGCCCCATGCCCGCCACACGAATATAAAAACCATCACCGTCCCCGAACCTCTCATTGGGTCTGAAATATAATACCAGCCCCGAGCCCCGCAAATATCGGGGAAAACCAATCCGAACCATAACCATAACCAAATCTTCTATCTACTTTACTTGAGAAATGATAAATACTCAGAATAATTAAAAGTTAAACCACCACTTTAAAAGCATCCATTGTTTAATCTGCTTGCCTTTCATAACTCAAAATGGAATGGATAAACACAAAGGGAAGCTCCCCACAATATGTCATGGTTCACATCTGACAATATCAAAATTCTAACTTTGCCAAATACTAACAAATGGCCAAGTTTTTGCAGAGATTCTAGAAAGAACATTCAAAAAAGGACAAGAAAGGAGCAGTAGTAATAAAAAGACATCTGCAATTCCATCTGCAACCACTATCCAATCAATTCCCCACCGATCTTCTATTCCAAAATGCTCACCTTCTCCAGCATCCCAATGATTCCATCTACCAGAAACCAAATAAACAAGATGTTGTACGAGTTTTAGAAATAAATAAAAACTTTATAATTGAGGGAAAAGTGTATTAAACTATTAATGATACCTTCATCCTCAATTTCAACTTCATCAACTAATGTTGAGCAAACTTTCGATGCTTCAGTGGCACCTGCAAAGTAGGTTAGTATATATTCAATTGAAGGTAGCTCAAAAAATTGAAATTTCAACTCAAAATAAGAAAGATGAGAAACAGCAACATAAATACATATTAAAGATGTACCTTGCTCTCCATTTTCACTCCAAAGCCAGCTTCTAGCGCACATTAAGCCTCTAAAGTGGTCCAATGAAGCCGACTACGATGAGGTCCGATTACTCGACCACTAGCACTGAAGGCGGATTCAGACGCAACTGTAGTTGCTGGAATCGCTAGCATATCCTTTGCAATAGCTTGCAATGTTGGATATTTGACTCCATTTAACTTCCACCAGCACAAGATGTCAAAATCTGCTTTTCTAGGTAAAACACCCTCCTTCAAGTAATCATCTAACTCTGCTGTAGATGAATAAGTCTTGACCCTCTTCTTACGACTAACAAATAGATCAAAATCAGACATATCATATGGTTCTTCCGAAGCAGATTTAGTAGCATCCATTACCGAAGAGGAATCCAAAGAACCCGAGCTGCTCAATTTTGTTTGATACTCAGAGACCATATCATAACACAACTGCTTAATTCTTTCTATTTGCTCATCACAAGCACTCCCATAAATCTGCTCAAAATAACAGTCAACCAAATCCAGCTTATATCTAGGGTCCAACACAGCTGCAATTCCCATAATAACATGGACCACATCCCAGTAACTTCGAAACTTCTCCCACATCTTTCCAGCCATTTTTTTGATGATCTCTGTGGGTGAATTTAGCCATTTCTTAATGGCTAATCTAATATCACAAATCTTTGAAAATATCAGGTTAGATGTTGGGTATTTAGTCCCCGAGAACAACTCAGTAATCTTGTTAAACAATTCAAGTTTATTAGAAACAGCTGCTGCAAATTCCCATTGTGTACTTGTAGGCAAAGAAGTATACTGAGAGTCACGCTGCTTCAATCTAGCAAACACTTTCTTATACATAATGGCAACAGTGAGCATCTTATAAGTCGAGTTCCATCTAGTCGGGCAATCTAGACATAGTTTTCTTTCACATGGAACTTTCAATTGCCTAGCAGCATCCTCAAAACTTTCAACCCTTTTGGGTGTGGCGCTCCAATACGCCACACTATCTCGAATCCTTTCTATTCCTTCTCGAACCACATCAAGTCCATCTCTCACTATCAAATTCAGTATATGTGCACAACAACGCATATGCAGCAATGAACCATCTCTTAACATGCATGACAAACCCAACTTATCCTTCACCTTTGAAATCATAGCATCATTTGTTGTGCAATTATCCACTGTTATTGACGATACTTGCATATCAATACCCCAATCCATCAAACAGTTCACTAAGTTGACACTTAATCTTTCACTTGTATGAGGGGCAGGAACATATATGAACCTAGAATTAAATCAACCATAATATTTCTATGTTATAATCAAGTAAAGTAAAATGATAAATACAATAAGTTTCGTGAAAGCACAAGATAAGAAAGATACCTTAAAATCTGACTTTTCAAAGTCCAGGAACTGTCAATGTAGTGAGCTGTAATAGACATATAACCCCTCTTTTGGTTTCCTGCTGTCCACAAATCTGTTGTGACAGCAACTCTGCTTCCATTACAAGGTTTGCTTTTGAAAGAAAACATCAAAGTTTTGCAACCTCCGTAATCAATCGAAGCTGTACAAGGACCCTTCATCAATGGTGATTGATGTAGAATTCGCACATGCTTCAATTCCAGGATATATGTCTTCACATATACATATTCCGATTTAGTAAAATATGTCTTCCTCTTCTTTTCTTCCATAAACTCAGAAATCGTTTGTGGTTTCCATGAGAAAAACAATATATGGACGGGCCAAACCTACGACAAAAATTGTTACAACAATCTTATGATAAACCTTGAGTTTGCTAAAAGATAGTGAGCCCATGAGTGTTATATGTTACTTAGACTATATTTATACATGACATATTTTAGTCACTCATTTAAAAAAAATATATTAGTTTTATGATCCATTTTGAGGGGAAAAAATGAAATTCTTAAAAATGTTTTCCACTTGTGACTTTTAGTCAATCCTCTACAAGCTTTTCATTAATTTTTTTTTACTCTACAAGCTTTTCATTAAATTTTTTTTAATACTTTGAATCAATGAGTCTAGGGAATATCATTCAACAGAGAAGATAGTCTAGTAACTATGAAGGATGCGATAGTCAATGACATGAAATGACCATTATATTTGGGGTAAATTGCAAGTTTGGTCATTGGAATTACTTGAAAATTAAAGTTCACGTTTGTCACTAAAATTAATAATTGGACCTAGCGCCCAAGTGGTTTGGCCAATAGTGGGTCAAGAAATATTAAATGGTGATGTGGGTGGAGGTTTTTGAGGAATCCTAATAACCTCGGGTTTTTTCTAGATTTGGAGAGCTTCGGGTACTTCGTCCGTAGTCACGAAGATTTTTGGATAAGGGTGATATAGGTTTCATTTCTTTGTAATTAAGGTACTACTTAAGGGATTCGAACTTGAAATCTCCAGGTTCTAGCCTAGTAGTATTACCACTAGGCCAAGCCATGCTCCTATCTGTAGACTGTAGTCACTAAGATTATTACCACTAGGCCAAGCCCTCGTTCCTATCCGTAGTCACTAAGATTGGTTCAATAGTTCAAGTTTAGTCACTCTCCGTTAACTTTATCTGACGTGGCAGTCAACTCTGAGAGTTAACCGTTAAATAAGTGATGTGACAATTAAAAAATACTAAAAATATATTCAATCTTTTAAAAATTTCACCTCATTTTTCACAAGAAATAAATAAATAAATAAATAATAATAATAATAATCGCAATAACAAAAAAATACAAAATAAAAAAACAAAATTCATTCCCCCATCTCTTACTATACTTCTTCTCCAAAAGAAAAATACATTCTAATTACCGGAAAAAAAACCTTTCCCGGTTCCCTATCCCACTCTGATAACCCTCATCGCATTTCACTCCATGGCCCCCGCTTTTTTCTCAGAAACCCTACCATTCTTCGTCTCGAGCTTGCCTCTCACTCTTCTTCTCCGATTGCAAGAAAAGTAAAGGTTGTTCAAACCAGAGACATCCCTTGGCACAAAGTATTCAAATCTGCTTCATATGTAATCCAAAAATATTGGATGGACGTTCGGCCCATGCACTTCAGCCCATGATCGAGACAAGTACGGCTCATGCATTCGTCGGCCTACCCGATGAGTTTAGTGAAACTGAAACCCTAGTTAGGTATTGTAGAAAGGGATATATATATGTGTGTGTACGTGTACTCAGCAGCGGCTTTTGCCACAATAATTATCATCAACAATAGCTGCAGCCGGAGAGCATTCCGCTCTCCGTGGATTAGTCTCGATCAACATCTGATCGAAGATACCACGTTAAACTCGCTTGTTCTCTCGATTTATTGCATGTTTTACATGGTATCAGAGCACTAGGATCCCTTCTTAGTGATTTCCAGTCATGGCAATCGGCAATGAGTCTTCCGCCGAGAGCACGCTCCAGATGGGAGCCAACAAGAATCTTGGCGGCGGCAGCAACGATGCGCTGCCCCCGGTCTTTCAATTACCTCTTTCTGATAGTCCTGGTCAGATGCTCCTGGGAGATGCATTGACATCTTCGAATTATGGTGAGTGGGGTTTGGACATGAAAGATGCGCTCCTCACAAAGAATAAATTCAGTTTTGTTGATGGGACTCTTCTCAAGCCAACCGACATTGTGCATCGCGCTGCCTGGGTTTGCTGTGATGCTATGGTCAAGGGCTGGCCCAAGACAGCCATGGATAAAGAAATTAGGACCAGTGTGAGGTTTGCGGATACCTCGCGTACAATCTGGGTCGATCTCCATAGCCGCTTTGGCCAAGGCAACGCCTCGCGTGCTTATGAGTTGTTGCGTCTTGTGAGTTTGCTACAACAGGAGAAGAGTTATGTTTCTACCTTTTATACTAAGTTGCAGTCTTACTGGGAAGAGTCGACTGCCATCATGCCTTCTCCAAGCTACACTTGTGGCCTTTGTACCTGCAATGTCTCTCTTCATATCAGTGAGCAACAAGATCATAACCAGCTATTTGATTTTCTTATGAGACTTGATGATGCTTTTTCAGCCATGCGCACTCAAGTCCTTGCCATGAGGCAGACTATCAACCTTGTTGAAGTCTTCAATATTGCCATCAATGAAGAACAACAACGTCTCATCACACAGAGCCGTAAACCCACAAGTGAGGTCGATGTTTTCGCTGCTCGCGACGATGGTGATAGGGGACAGTGAACTCCGGGGCAGCGAGATCGTTCGCGGTGCAGTCATTGTCAAAAAATTGGGCACTTGCGCGACAGCTGCTATGAGTTGATTGGCTATCCACCTCATGATTGCGGTGATTCCCGAGAGTATCGCGAGGAGAAAGATGATCAGCAACGTCGTCGTTCTAACCCGCAAGGCAAGAGAAAGCCACGTGACAAAGATGGTCAGTAGCATGATCGTGCTCCGAAGGCAGCGCAAGTTGAGCAAGATAAAGGAAAGAGTCTGATTGCGGGATTTACTCTTCAGCAACTGGAACAACTCCAACAATACTTTGGGCATTCAGTGAAGGTGGCGGATGAACCCATGGCCAACTCGACAGGTACATTTACTCATGATATTGAATGGTTGTTAGACTCGGGCTACAATGAACACATTACTATGGATGAAAAATTATTGTCGTATAAGGAGATCACCGAAAGTGGACAACCAGTTCGAATCCCAAATGGTGCTGGTGTGCCCGTTCGACACATTGGTAGTGTTACTTTTCCTACAGGGGTGGTGCTTAAGCGTGTTTTGCATGTGCCCGAGTTTTGCTGTGAACTGATTTCTGTCAGTCATTTTGCTAAGGATAATCACGCAACAATAATTTTTCTTGGTGATTTCTGCGTCATTTAGGACTTACTATCCAAGAAATTGATTGGGAAGGGTGAGTTACGTGACGACCTATGTTACTTTCGTCTCTTTGGAATTGGGCATGCTAGGGCGTGTACGGTACTTGGCGGACGTCGGTCTCCGGAGTCTTTGTGGCATGCCAGACTCGGCCACCCTTCGAGCACCAAGCTGAGCCGGCTTAGTTCTTTGTTAGATGTTTCTTTCCTTCCTAATAAAGAGCCTTGTCACCCTTGTTCTCGTGCCAAGCACACTCGAACCCCTTTTCCTTCTAGTTTTGTTCGTACGAAGGAATGTTTTGATTTAATCCATGTTGACATTTGAGATGGATATAAAGTCGCATCTCTTAGTTGAGCACATTATTTTCTTATGATTGTGGATGATTTTAGTCGAGGTACATGGGTCTATCTTCGTCGCTATAAATCTGAGGTTGGTAGTTATTTGATGATGTTCATTCAGCAGGTGCATACACAATTTGGATGTTGAGTGCAACGCATCCAAACTGATAATGGTCGTGAGTTTAATACACATGTGCTACAATAGTATTACGAATACGATACCTTAACTAAATCCGCTTCGGAGAACCAAAAGTTGTTGTCCTGATCCATATCCTGAAACATAAACTCTAGAAACACTATGTGTTTGTAATAGGGTTCCCATTCAATTCATAAATCAATTCGGAATCCGAATCTGCTTCTAATTTCTTAGGAACTGCAGATGTAGTATACAGAGCAACGACTCCCACTAGAATTCCTTCATACCAAATCTCCCACAAACGCAAGCTTGGTCCTCAACTTTTCCAACATCACCTTTGTTGTCGAACTAACCACTTAGTCCCAATAACTCGAGTTGTTGAAAAAGGGTTTGTTAAGCCTTTTCATCTCTTACACGCCCCCTCAAACGAAAGCCTACATTTTTGGGGGGTTTTCTTATACGGAGGATTCGAAACCATGACCTTTCGGTTCTAGCCTCTGATACCATGTTGGCGAACTAACCACTTGGTCCCAATAACCCGAATTGTTGGGAAAGGGGTTTGTTAAACCTTTTCATCTCTTACAACCTTCACATCAAATCTGTTATGATCAATTCCGCAAAAATTCAAATTTTTGTAGTGAGAAAAGGATATTCAGGGAGAGAGAGATTGAATTTTGCCTGGGCAATTTGCAACGATGGGCAATTGATCTACAAACACCAAATCCCAATGGCACATTTTTTGTTGTGGTAGAGCGGGTAGCTATCGTCCCAAACCCAGTTGCCATCAAACACATCACAGTCGTTTTTCCCATCATCGTCCAGAAACTCGACCTAGAATGGTACGACGGAGCTACAAGCGCTCCCAGACCCATCCAGGAAGGCTAAGCGGGCCAGGAGCCTGGAGAAACGATCCAACGGTCACCGGAGCGGGAGGAGGAGAAGAAGACGAAGAGCAAGAGCAAGAGAGCGAATAAGGAGAAGTCGAGATACTGTCTAGCGGTGGTGGTGGGGGAGTGGGAGGCAGATAGCTAGAGAGGCGAGCTCGGGACTAAGAATGGTAGGGTTTCTGAGAAAGAAACGGGGGCCCTGGAGCGGACGACGATGAGGGTTTCCGGAGTGGATGGGGGGACCGGGAAGCATTTTTCTTTAGGAGAAGAAGCAGCGGAAAAGATGGGAAATGATTTTTGTTTTTTCAATTTTTTATTTATTGTGAAAATGATGTAGAATTTTTAAAAGATTCATTTTTTTAATTTTTAATTGCCACGTCACTTATTTAATGATAAACTCTCAGAGTTGACTACCACATCAGATAAAGTTAACGGAGACTAACAGAGAGTGACCAAACTTGAATTGTTGAACTAATCTTAGTGACTACGGATGTAATAAATTAATTTTAGTGGAAACGTGAACTTTTAAAGTAATTCTGGTGTCGTTTACCCATTATATTTGGTATGTTTGAATGATATGTGGTTTGATTCACTTGACTCGTCCCGAATTCCATAATAAAACTCCTAATTAAGGCCCAAGTATAAACCTTAACTAGGTGCAGTATAGGGCAAGTATGTTTAAATATCGACCCAGCCTGATTCATGTACCCCTACTTTGATTGCTTGAAACATTATCTAGCAGTTGATTTTTGATGAAAACAACAATTTATAGCTAAAGTGTTTGCAAAGGTAAATGGATTTGACATTAATTGAGAAGGCATCACCCGTAGGGAAGTGCAACAAGTAGCCAAGCGCCACTCTCTCGGTCTCTAAGTCGAGGGAAAGGGATATGATCTAAGCCACCAACGTAATTCGCTCGACCTATTAACTAAGGGTTGGTTAGACTTCACTCTCGAATCGGAGTTCGATGGCCACTCACAACCAAATCATAGGTGCTAATATGAAATAGGAGGTTTGCCCTGCATTAACCTAAAAAGTAGACAATGAATTGCCTAAGAAAACCCAGCATTCAAGCCTCTTTCAAAGAAAGGAATGAGTTTTCTCTCTACCTAGGTTAGAATGGCAATTAGATTGATAGGGTTTCACACAACACAATCATTCACGAATAGTATCTCCACATTCACATTAAACACAACTACAAACAAATCATTCAATCCATACAAGCATTCACATAATTGTAGCTAGGGTTTACAAACACCCAAGTGAAAGAAGGGACTACTCCATGCTAGAAGAAGGGAAAACACGAGAGAAGAAGGAAAACCATCAAAGAGATGCTAGCCTTGCTCCTTGTGTTGAAGAGATCCCCCTTTGGGGGAGGAACCCAATCTTTGTTTTTAAGTTTCTAATCTTTATTTGAAAAACCTATTCGTGGAGGTCTCCATGAAGAAAGGCCTTGATTGAAGATGAAACCCTAGCTTCTCCTCTTCTTTGGTTCGTTACTTTCTCACTCTAGAAATCTGAAGAAGAAGAAGAAGAAGAAGTTTCTCACACTAGGTCTCTCCTCCTTTATATACCGAGATCGGGCTCAGTTCACGGTCCTAGTTCACGACCGTGAACTACAAGCCTAGACTGTGATCTCAAGTCAAAACGCACCGCATCACTAACTCCAGTTCACGATCAATGACCTGAGTTCATGGTCTTGCGACCGTGAACTGACTCGTGTCCAGTGAAAGCAATTTGTGCTCTGGATGCCTGGCAGTTCCCGGGTAGCGCCTCCAGTTCATGGCCTTAGTGACCGTGAACACACAGCCCAGACCGTGATCTCCTGCTGCTTCCACCCTTTGACTTGATTTTTCTTCCTTTCGTCCAACTTTCGACTCCGGGGTGGATTCCACCTGCCAAAGTCTTAAAAACACCAAAACGAGGCAAAACCCGACGTAAAACCGAACCTCCCGGAGTAAAAATGCTTCAAACGACCAAGAAAATTGGGGTAAAAAGTGTACAAATGAGCTCGAATCATCACTCAAAGATTTCTGATCATGCAAAGGAGTCTCTACTTTTTAAAAAAGTTTTTTTCAAGGGTGAACTATATCTTCTAGAAAAATGCAAAACTCTACCTATCAAGACATGTTTGATTCAATTCCAAAATACAATTCATGTTATGTTAAGAAATAAAGTGTGAGGTAAACCCAACGTGTAAGGCATCTTTTCAATGCAAAAAATCGGGTTTTTGAGGAAATACTAGTTTAGCTATAGTGGGAAAGTCCTACCAGGTGATGCTAGTTCCTCTCTAGTACAAGTAAAATCTTCACCACCTGTTGAATAGATTGCAAACTTGATGATGTGTTCTTAAAGACACAGATAAAACTTCTAATACCCCTTAATTTCATTAGCCCTCTACACGAGTTGAGGTATAGGAATTCTAAGTTTTTGCTCAAACAATAAAGGTAAAGTTCTAAAAGAGCTCTCCACTCAAGAAAAATCCAGAAAAGAAAAAAAAAATAGTTGGTTGCAAGAGAAGAAAATTTGAAAAAGGAAAAAAATATTGTGTTTGAACAAGACAAAAGTTTTTAAAGGGTATATCAAGTTTATGGTAGAAGAATTCAAAGTTTAAAAATGTTTATCAAAATTTTCACCATTATGTTTTCACTTTTTAGGCTCTAATGCATTGTTAGTCGATTAAGCTTGGATTAGATTGCATAATGTTATTGCATGTTAATGTGGTAAGATTCTCCCGTCCTATTGTTGACCCTGTAAGTTACGGGTGATCCACTATCTAAGATCGAAACTGAGTGATGCTTTCTAGCTTTCATTGAGTTGTGAATGGTGTTCGCTTATAGACAAGCAAACATCAAAGTTCAAGGGTGGGGTATTTCTAATGATGACACTCAATTTATATTGTTTATCACTCCCATATTTGATACATTCTCCCCTTCTATGAATGTATCTTTACTGGTGTTTACTATATTTTATATGAAATTCATAACTATTTGATTAATGAGCTTATTATAGACATTGAGTGTGTTTATGTACTATTTGATACTTTTATGGTATTGTTTTGTGCATTTCCTGGTTATAAACCACCGAAGACGAATTTGGATCACCAAGGGACCTAAAGGATCATTAGGAGGATGAAAGTACAAACTCATGGGCTCAAACAGAGATGGATTTGGACACACAGATGCTCACTTTATGGCCATTACAAGCAGATCCGATAGTGCAGCATGTCCAACTTTGACCGAAGTCCAACTGGAGATATATAAGCCGAAGCGCGCCCAAATTTGGAAGATAAGTTACTTGTGGGCCAAGCAACCAAGCCCAATTGGAAAAGAAGCGTGGGTCACAACCGTCGTGACACCATCGCTCAAACCCTAATCCTCATGGAAGCTTCCTGAAAAAGCTACTTTGTCCACAAGGCTAAGGAAACCGAGTTTTGGTTGGATAGGGAATGATTTGGCCGACTTTATGAGGAAAAAGACTAGAAAACCCACTTATACAACTTGTATAAATAGAGGCACATACCTAGACTTTAGACCCACCTTTTATCACTCTGCCTCACTAGGCACGAGTAGCAATTCATAGAGAGGAGAATTGCTTTTGAGATTCAGAGGGCAAGCAACAACCATCAATGCTTGTATCTATGATGATGTTGTTCGACTCTTCTTTGTGTTGCTAGTCAATCTGTTTATGAATGTGAATTCTATGATGATTATGCATTACTTTCTATGAGTAAATAAGATGTTTATCTTGTTATATGCTATGATTAATATGCCCAACACCTACTTTATGCTTAGTGCCTTCTTTAATCTAGCTGGGCTCGAAAGAATGCCATTAGAACATGATGTATGTTGTAACCAAATATTATAATGGAATCAAAGAATGCTTAGAGAATACATTGAGGGATTTGAGATTGTGCGAGTTCAGTCATCTGAATAGGGTGCTGCTGGTGTAGTATCTCCCTCCATTCTTTAGTTAGCTGCTAGTAATTTAGAGCAACAGCAACAATTTAAGATTATATAAGGTGGCTGCTAGCTAGGCTACGCGTCCTGGATAGGAACTAAAGGCAACATGCCACCATAGACGTCAGGGAGCTGGCTTTCATCTATATCCTCCAGGAAGGTGTCCCTCAAATTCTTATTCTCCACAAACACAATCTGCAATTGGATAAGAGTGGATTAGATATGTAGCAGCAGCTAGCAGGAAAGGGTACAGGGGTGGCACTAGCTAAGTAAAGGAGCAAGGAAGACATAGTTTGTGGGTAGTGGTACCTTCTTTTTGGTTTTGGGGTCGATGAAAGGGTAAATAACTTTCCAGGCAGTCATGAAGATGTAAGGGGAATGCACCAAGAACACTTTCCCCAACCTCTCCGGATAACAGTCCTGCAATATTGATAGTGCTGCTAGATATCCCCTAATGTCACTGTTCGTGTATCCCCACCCTTGCAGATCCGCGATCGCAATGAACCTTTCCTGTCCTGCAGGCAACCTGCAGTCCACCCCAGAAAAACCAAGACAAAATTGAACCCATCTATACATATTGGCAAGGCAAGAGGCTGGAGGAGAGGAGGCATTTAGGCCGGCTTAGAAACACGCATCCATACTAGACTTCATACAACTCACCTGGCACATATCCTCTCCAGAGTGAAGACTACAAATCCTGTCACCAGTCACACAGCGAACATATACGCAATCAAAATTTCATAAACACGAGGGCACAGACAGACAGGTAGCTAGGCTAGAGTGGTATAGTGAGCTATGCAATCAAACAGGTGGGTTGAGGGAATGACAAAGACATACGCTTGAACTCTTCAAGAGTCGATTTCTGAGGCTTGTGCTTGGCACCATAAGCCACCACAATGGGGCGGTTTTGCTTGTCATGGCCTTGCATGTACAGCTTTTGCTGGGCTAGCTCGTTTGGGATGTCAGAATCTAGAATGGAGCCACTGGGCATAAAGGAATGCCTCCAGCTTAGGTACTTGAGGAATAAAGCACTTGCCTTCTCTATGTCCATCTCTCTCGCCCTCAGAAACCTCCTCAGGATCAAGTCATCCCCCAATTCCTGCAATCCACCAACCACAATTGTATATTATACAGACAGTAACAGTTACTCTTTCCTGCTGTCAATGCCTACCGTTTGCTATTGGTACTACATACTATAACTAGGAAACCGACTTTGTAAGGGTAGAGCTTCATCATCATCTTAATAAATTGACAGTTAATTCTACAATCAAGTACTTAGTTGGATATTATAATGAATTATAATAACATTAATAGACCATTACAACAACCACGAGCAGGGGGAAAAGGAAAGGAACACAATCTAAGAAAAAAGGGAGAAAGATCTGGACTTTTGACTGAAATGGACCAATTCTTCACAATGCTTAATCGAGATCGATCCATCCACAAGGACAGAAAATTGGAAAGCTAGCTTGGGAGATCGAAATGGATGTTTGATTTTTACCTTAGCTGATGGATCTTGTGCTTCCACCACAGCTCTCATGATACCCACTTTGTTCTGCTCCTCTGCACTAATTGCATCTGTCTCCGGTGGACTCATCGTGCTTGCCGCCGCCGGCGTCGCTGACTGTTTCTCCTCTTCAATCTTAGACCATCCATTCCCAGCTGCTGTGCCCATTTTCTTGTTGGGTTCCATTTCTTTTGCCGACACTATCAAAACCCCTCCCTTCTCCTTTTGATCCCTAGTTCCCAGTTATAACCACGAGCTGACTGGTCAATTCTGAGCGTTAAATGCAGACAGCTGTTGCTGGGGCGGAGTTAGATGGAGGATACATACGGCTAACGAAATATCTACAAGTTTCCAGCTCCACCGGCAGTAGGTAAACAGAGCAGGCAGCACAGCAGAGCACAGATCAAATGGCCCAGGGAAAGGAATTCAATCGTGCCTCGGCTCCTTCCCCAGAAAACCAAACACGCGAATCTAACCGGTAGCTGCCGTTGCAACTTATTCGATTTCTGTTTGTTTCCTTTCTTAAACGTGTTTCTCTTCTCTTTTATTTGTTCTCTTTTATGAGTTTATCTCTGTTTTCTTTCTACATTAATTAGAAGTTTAGAACCTCAGATAACATGTTATTAATTTGTATTTTGGAAGGATTGTAAAATACAGCTTGTAATTGTGTTTTTAGGTTTTGAAATAATTATTAATTTATGAGAGGTCAAACAATCTCAATTTAATTATATCAACAATCACAATTAAAAGTTGAGATATAAAATCTCTCATTTTGAGTCGTAGTTTATGTCACAAGGCTATAATTCCCCTTAGCTCATAGTTAGGTCAAAGTTATAACTTCCCTTAGTCCAGTTCATTGATAGTTACACTGTCGAAGGTGCGGTATTAGCTTGGAATCTCGACTAAAGTAGACCAAGCCCTCTTAAACAGTTTAACATACAGAAGATTATCCTCAACCGAGCTAAAATGCCAAGGCAATGCAAATAGACCTCCTCTATTGGATGAATTCCAGTACAGAGCAATGAATTTATTCACAATTCGTGCAATCAATTCAATACTTCCAATTAAGGTTTCTCTGTTAACCCAATAAGATATTCTCTCTCCTAGATTAAAGCAGTAACCCAAAGAATGTGATCAAGACTCATTCGATTATGAAATATGCATCACTTGAATATAAATATTCAATTCAACAATCCAAGAGTTCTTGATCTAGGGTCAAGATCTCAGTTTATACAATCATTATCCTAACACATGAACTAGGGTTCTTCATACCCAAGTGGCAGAGAGGATTATTCCATAGAGAGAGATAGAGAGAGAGAGGAAAATCATGCTCGAAGTAGTCATGCTCATAAAGATGATGATCTGCTCTAGGATGTCAATCTGCACTCCAAATGACGAAATTCGAGCTCCAATGGTGGATTGGGGCTCAAATAAACTCCAATGTATGTTTCTCCATCACTTTATCTCTTTAGAACTCTATTGTTGTTGTCAAAAGTCAGATCCATCTAAAAAATCCCGAAATTGGCACTTAACCCCGTAGCTGGCTAAAACACTGTCGTGTAAAATACGAACGTTTCCCTGCCCATGTTTTAGCTCAGCCCGTGTTTTGTTAAAGCTCAGTGTTTCACTTAAGTTCCTTCTGTGTAGAATATGAGCACCTTCAGGGTAAAACACAGTCGAGGCCGTGTTTCCTCTTTGTTGTCGTTACATGGCCCATTATGGGTTAAGCATGGTCGTGATTCTTCCCCCGCTTTGATCGTGTTATCCGCTTATACCAACAGTACCTAAATCATTGCTAAATAACAAGAATCTAAGGACTAAACCTTTGGTAAAATTAAGGTAGATACAACGAAATACAATACTCTATAACACGTTCCAAAAGAAAAAAACAGGAAGCAAAATACCAATATCATGAAATTCAAGAATATGATAACTAGTCACAAAAGAAAAAAAGTAAGCACAACATCAACCTTCATTTTCTTGATCATCTGAATCTTAATCATTGTTGTCCTCATTTTGGTTGGTCTTGTTAACCTAAAAAAATATTAATAACAATAAGAGAAAATTTTGTTCGTAGAAAATAGTATTGATTGGTAAAATGTCATATTAAACCAAATAGGTATCTTGAACAAGTTGACGCATTGAATTTCCCACCATTACTATCTTATCTTGCAATTCTTCTAAGATTGCATCCATTTTTCTTTTCTCATTTAAACGATCTTTCTGACAACATTTACTACAACCACCTGGTGAGGAAGCACCATAAACATCTGCGCCCGTGAATCCCAGACATATCTCAAGTACCCATCTTTTATGTGGCTCCCCAACAACCTGGAGATATATGTCCCAGTAATTGGAAACTTCGCCTTTAGGCACAACCTCAGCAACAAGCTTTTCCATCTCATTCTACAATCATTATATATAGAAAATAATCATCAAGGTTCCAGAAAAAGCACCATACATAATTAACAAGTCTATGGGACAAAAAAAAACTTACAGTAGTCACTTGGTCCTTCGGGTTCTAAACTCCTTGTTCTTTTTCATGTGTTGCTGCTTTCATTGTTCCATTAGAGTATGCTCTCGTCCGTTTCTTTTTCTATAAATGCACAATTAACCATAAGATCATATGTTCCACGTTGAAATAGATCTATATGTATTCCAATGATATTTAAAAGAAAAGCTTATTAGGTCATGAGAATAAATATCACATCAGATCTGATTTTGCTGCTGGTAGAGAAACTCCAGTTGAAATAAGCTCGTTTTAAGCTCAGTTCTGCTTATTCTTAGCACTTTCGATCTATAATAATGAATGGATGTTTATTTGATGAAGTGAAATTTAAGTGTGCAAATCAATCATATTGAATCAGATCATATCTTCCATATGGGATCATTCCATTTGTCCACCATTTCCTTCCAAACAAAAGGAGGTACAAAGGAAGAAGGATTATTATATATATATATCAATCAATGACTCATATTTGGAAAATAGTTTCCTTCGAATGGTAACCATCCATTTGCCCTATTTAATCTTGACATATTGCTTAACTACAAGGTCTTCTTCTTCTTCAAAAAGGTAATAGTTAAAGCCTGCTTCCTTGAAACGTGCATACAACCATCCAATTCTTCTCTATGAACCTAAGATAAAGTTGTCCATAGATTTAATTTGTTGGTGGAAAATATTGTTGCTTCCATGAACCACTAGTGGTGTTATTATTGTGATATGCAAATTTTGGAAATTGAATCGATTGACCTAAGACTAATACTATTGAATCCAACAAGGGACAACATTAAAACACAAATAAAAATATGCAATAAGCATAGACAGATTATACTAACTTATGCACCAACGCACTGACGGTACATGGACAACTTTGTCTCAGTTTCCAGAGAAGAATTGGATGCTTTGTATGCACGTTTCAAGGAGGCAGGCTTCAACTATTCACTTCTAGAAGAAGAGATGGAGTAGAAAGTTAAACAATATGTCAAGATTCAATAAGGCAAATGGATGTTTGCACTTCGACAGGAAGTATTTTCCAAATATGAGTCATTGAGTGATAAATACAAGAATCCTCATTCCTCTGTAGCTCCTTATGTTTGCAAGGAAATGGTGAACAAGTAGAATGATCTTACATGAAAGGTATGATCTGATTCAATATGATTGATTTGCACACTTAGATTTTATTTCATCTAATATAATTTCATTCATTGATATAGGTCAGAATTACTAAAAATAAGCATAATAAAGCTAAAAGCGAGCTGATTTCAACTGGAGGTTATGTACCAATATCAAAATACATATCTAATACGGTATTTATTTTCATGAACTAATAAAATTTTCTTTTTAAATATTCGTGGAACAAATAAGATATGATCCAACATAGAACATATGATCTTATAGTTAATTGCTCATCGCATAAAAAAACAGGACGAGAGCCTACTCCACTGGAATAATGGAAGCGGTAACACATGAAAAGAACAAATGAGTTTAGTACCCTAAAGGTTAAACTGATTAATGTAACTTTTCCCCTTTTATTTTGTCCCATAGGCGTGTTACTTATGTATAGTGCTTTCTTGAACCTTGATGATTAATTTCTATATATAATGATTATAAAATGAGATGTAAAAACTTGTTGTTGAGGCTGTTGCTAAAGACTAAGTTCCCAATTATTGAGGCATATATCTTCAGGTTGTTGGAGAGACACATAAAGTTCGTGTACTTGTGATGATTCTGGGAGTCACGAGATCATATGTTTATCGTGCTTCTTTATCAGGTGGTGGTAGTAAATGTTAATAGAAGGTTACCTAAATGAGAAAGAAAAAATTGATGCAATTATCAAAGAGTTGCAAAATAAGACAATAATGGTGAAAATTTTAGTGCGTCAACTTGTTCAAGATGCCATGAAGCAGTTTGGTTTAATGATATCACAGTTTACAAATCATTACTATTTTCTACATACATAATTTTGTCCTTTTGTTATTAATATTTCAATATTAACAAGACTAACCAAAATGAGTACACCAATGATAAAGAAAGAGGGGAAGAGGAAGATTTAGAACAATTCAGAGTACGAGTCAGATGATCAAGAAAATGAATATTGATATTCTGTTTACTTTTTTCTTTCAGGGCTAGTTATCGTGTTCTTAAATTTCATTATATTGGTACTTCGATTCTTTTTTCTTATTTTATTTTGGGACATATTAGGTTATTGGATTTCATTTTGTCTACCTTATGTTTATCAAAAGGTTAGTCTTTAGATTCTTGTTATTTAGCAATGAAATTTAGGTATATATTTGAAAATTTTGTTAATGTGGCAACATTCTGGTAAAATTAGCAACATTACAATTATTCAATTTATTATTTGTAAGAGAATTTCACTGTTAAAGAGTGCATTACCGACGACCTTACTATTTATAAGGACGATGATGTTTCATAACAAAAAAATTGAAACTATTGTCTTAAAAATGCATTACCAATGACATAATTAATTATAAAATAATCATGAAATGACATAATGTAATTGCTTAAACATAAATAAAATTAAAACACGTAATTAATAAGTCAAAGTAGATTACTAACTAGCAACTCAAACCAACGCACCTCACCAGTCAAGGCGTATGTTCACTTGTCTTTTCGTTGTGCACTTGCTACCTCCTTTAGCCTCCACATTAGCTCGAGCTCCACAAATGGCTTCTTGTCGTCCTCCTTCAGCTCGATACCTCGAAAAATCAACCTTCTTCACCGTCGACTGCAACTTTGCCTTATATCTCGTCGTCTTACATAACTTTTTGCCCAACATCGTTAAGCCTTCAACCCTGAATGCCATTGCATCCTCTATCTGACTGGAATTCGACGTCGGCCGCCGAAGGGGCTGCCTCGCCCAGTACATATGTATATACACGCGTGTATTCTCTTATGCTAATAAAACCCTAATCTATCTATCTATCTATCTATACATAATATTATGGCAATTCAAAAGTAGTTTGTTGCCACATAAGCATTTAGAGAATTTACAAGGTGCCATGGTGGACAATTTTTTTACAAACAAAAAAGTTAATTAATGATCAATTAGTGTAGCTATATCTATCTTCTTTTAATATTTTTTCTTTTATTTTAATGATCATTTATGTAGCTATCTCTATCTTCTTTTAATTTTTTTTTTATTCAATAATTTTTTTGCAATATATATGTGTAGCAGCAGTATACTTACATTTGGAGAGTGACATATATTGTAATTTAAAAAAAATTGATTAAATCTGATCAATTAATTTTTATTTTTATTAGAACTTAATATAGTGAAGTTTAGATAATCAACATTTAATAATCAATTGAATTTGAAAAACCAACTATATAATTTTGGATTTTGCTACGGTGACATGTCGACCTATTGCTGAAGGCGGTCGACCGAATCGACTAATTCATGTATGTGGGATTCCAAGACGCGGTCGACCTCTTACATAATACGGTCGACCGCTTTGGTGGTCTAACAGAATGAAAGGTCGACCCAAATATCTCATAGGCCGACCCTTGTGCACCTAACAGGTCGACCGCATTAGGAAGAGGTCGACCGCCTTCACACCGTATCCGTATTGGATATGGATTCCAACACCAGAAAGGTTCCACAATTGGACAAGGAAACGAATTGGGTCGACCCATTGACGTCCCAAATCTCTATAAATACGAATATTAGTCCCCTTCAACGCCTCCAAGTCTGAATTAGGTTTTTTTCCGATTAAGAGCCTTTGTGAAGAAGATCGTTCGCGGTTGCTGTTGTACGCGTTGGAAGTGGTCGACCAGGTCTAAGGTGAGGTCGACCTAATGTACCATTCGTCGTCTTCTTTTCTAATGCGTGATTTCTACCGGCTAATTTGATATATTGTTGGGTGCAGAATTCCATTCGGTCGACCGTGACGTCAACCAGGTCGACCTGACGAGACAATTCTGCGTATTTGAATTTAGGCCACAACACTTGGATTTCTGTACTTGCGAGGTAACCCAATTGGTCGACCTAATGGGTTTCAAGGTCGACCGTTCCTGTTTTTTTGGTTATTCAACCTGAATGTCGACTTTGGCTTTGATTGTATGACTATGTTGTGCTTGAAAAGGTCGACCGTACCAGATATCTGGTCGACCTATCCTTTTTTTGGTTTAATTTTGAACTTACTTTTTGTTGTTTTAATTGTTATTTTCTTGCTGGATAGGTCGACCTAGGAATAACAGAGGTCGACCTTAATGGTTGTGGTAGTCATTATTTGTCTTCCAGGTCGACCTAATACTTTGTCAGGTCGACCACGTCTTTGTTTTTTGGTCAATTGTAGAAATTTGTAGTTGAATTATGATTTAAATTTTTCTTGAAATTGTTTAGACAATGACGCATGATGAGAAACTGCATCAAGATTTGGGTGAAATCATGAAATTGTTGAAAGCCACACAAGAGAAGCTGGTGGTGTGTCAAACACAAGTCAATGACTTTCAGAAGTCCATGTGTGATAGAGTGGAGCAATTGTCAGTTCGACTGACAGATATTACTGGGATGATGCATGACGGGTTTGAGAGGCTAGAAGGTGCTATCAAATATATAAGTGCAGAACGAATGGAGAATGGCGGAAGAAATGGTAAAGGAAAGAAATTTGACTTTGGTAAAGAGGAAGAAGACCATGATGACTCTGAAAATTGCTACCAGAGCATAGACGATTTATTGAAAGAGCACATTTTAAAGGTATCCAAGTATATTCATATGTGATTGAAGATATTAGTATTACTATCATTAGTGCTAATTTGTTTTGTTTATATGTTTGACAGAGTGAAACAACGAATGGCAGCAAGGGTTCCTCTCCTAAGTACAAGAGACCTCGATATGAAAGTGACTCCTACACCACTCCACAGAAGGATCAATTTGTAAGAAAAGGATTATTTAGTGATGATAGCGATGAAGAAGAATCTAAGAGTCCTTTCGAAAAGCACGGGGTAAGTTTACGTTACATATTCATCTATAATGTGTGTTTGTGTTCATATGTTACTTTAATTTTAACTATGATTTGTAGGTCATGAAAGTGGAGGGTTTAGAAGGATTCACCAAAAATCTTCAAAATCCAGTTGAAGACTTGTATTATGTTGTTACTAAAGAGAAGGCTAGGGACAAGAATTGGGACAAGTAAGACGTTTTTTAGTACGTGTGGTCGACCGGATCGGTTATGAGGTCGACCGCTTTTCCAATAAGGTCGACCGTGACTGTGAACAGGTCGACCTGTACGTTGCAAATCACAATTGACATTTATGTTATTTTGATTTTTGCAGTTTGACCGTTGTGGACTTTTTTTCTGAAAACGTGCAACGACATTATTTGAGTTCGGTCATTAGCGAGAATAGCTGGGTTTGCTCATCAGTAAGTACTATACTACTACGACTTTCGTATGAATTGTGCACTATTTATGTTACGATTTATGATGATTTTGTGTTTGATTGTTGGATGGTAGGTAGTGGATTTGTGTGCAAGGGCACTAACAATGTCTGAAAAACATGATGTGAAAGAGCCAAATGTGTGGTATTTGCCAAATATGTTTTCGGTAAGAGCCGTAATGTCAAATTATTTGTCATAACCTAGAAATTTATATTGTACCATGTCAATTCATCTCAACTAAAACATGCTGCAGAAAATGGTACGCGCTAACATGAAGACCAGACAAATTCGTAACAAGTTGATGAATGATGGCTTGGTCTTTATGCCGAATGTCAGTGCATGCCAGAAGGTTAGTCTAGTCAATGTCCCTCTATCATTAAATTTCGAAAGTGCATTTGTTTGTATTCGCTGTTTATAACATATAGTGAGTGTTTCGTTGCTAGATATTTATGCCAGTTCTTGACGATGAAGCACGTCATTGGTTTCTGTATCTCGTCAATGTCCAGCAAAAAACTGCATTTTTGCTTGACAGTCTACCTTCAACTAGTGAGGCGAATCGTAGGCGTAAATCAGCACTATGCAAGAAATTGGTAAGTGTTTTCTATAATTTTCTGACTGTTAAGCGTCACGTATTATGCTAGAAACTTAAAATATTCATTATTTGTGTGTAGTTGTCCAATTTGGATGATATTTTCAAACCGGAGCGCATGAGCAATGTAGGAGTACCAAATTTTGGAGATTTCAATTTTGATGAGCTACGAGTTCAACGGCAAAGGAATAGTACTGAGTGTGGTGTGCACGTCATGCAGTGGATGCGCTATGGATCCAAGGATCTTGATAGAGTGGTGAGTATATCGTCAAACAAATAACTTGTTTAATTTACACTTTTTTTAGTTGTAACGAAATCTTACATGGCATAATGCAGATAGGAGAAGAACACAAATTACCGGCGCGAAAGGAGATTCTATGGTATCTGGCTACACATTTTGAAAACCTTGCACGAGAAAATCTTTTCAAGCATGTAGTAGATGAATGCATGGAACGAGGCAAAGAGAGACAGAGTTCAAACAAAAAAACAAAGAAATGAAGTCGTTAAGTTACAATGTTGCATTATTTGGACCGTACATTGAATTTGTATTTGCGAGATCGTTTCATTTTGGATTTTGAATGTTTATCGTTTATTAGATTTGTTATACAATTATGGATGTGACTGAATTTACGATTTCAATCGTCTAGAACAAGTGGTCGACCACATACTCAAAGCGGGCATACCCAAAGGCAGAGCACAGGTCGACCACGTGACGCAAAAGGTCGACCTATGATACCGTAGCAAAGTGAAAAACCATGTAGAACATGGATGGAATCTTGTCAGTTTGGCCTCAATAAAATACGGTCGACCATTCTTGTTAAGAGGTCGACTTGTTTCACATTTATAAACAATGGTCGACCATTTCAGTAAAGAGGTCGACCTGTTTCACATTTACCCAACACGGTCGACCATTTGTGCAAAGAGGTCGACCTTAATGAATCATGTCCTTGTACAATTAGGATTTTGTGTACTTGTCCTTGTCGAATTATGATTTTATATATCTTTCACCAATTGGATAAGGAATTCGTCTACATTATCTATAAATAGATGGGAGTCTGAAGACTTTAATCGAACTTCGATTTATGCAATTTGTTGGAGTGAAGTTGTAATATCATCGCTCTTATTGTGATCGGGTGTTGGTGGCGGTTTATTTTTATTCCGGTAGACCGTAACAATAAGTGGTCGACCTCTTTGCTAAGGTATGTCTCATATGTGCTTGTTAATGCTTGTATGTGGTTAAATTTTTCCTACCATCCGGTCGACCACCTTCACCATCCGGTCGACCGTGATTTTGTAATTATATGATTAGGTCGACCTTTCAGTAAATTCTGGTCGACCGCATGTTTGTTATTTAGTAATAAGGTCGACCGTACAGTTTATTCAGGTCGACCTGACGAGCACTAATTGTGTATGTTTTTGACATTAAGTTCGTATTCCGATAGTTTCCGGATGGATAACAGAGATGATACAGATGATAGAGATGATGAGGTTAACTTCGATGAGGAACCTAAGGATGCTCAAGAAGGAGCTATGGATAATTCAGATGATACAGATAATACAGATGATGAAGTGGTTGGGGATGATAATGAAACCGAGGGTGCTGAAGAAGAATTTATGGATGATGAAGAAGCTACTGAATATGAACAACAAATTCCTTCCATGGAGTTCCAAACATTAGAAGATGCAGAGAAATTTTACGATTCCTATGCTAAAGCGAAAGGATTTAGCGTTCGACGTAGAGATCTTCGGAGGAATCGTCGAGGAGTAGCAATTGGGAGGACAATGGTATGTTCGAGAGAGGGGACTAGAGATAAGATGCATATAGATAAAGAAGGTCGGACTCGACAACATCGTAAGATGACAAGACATTATTGCAAGGCATCGTATACTGTACGCTTTG